TTCCAGACTTCGATAAATTCATCCCTCGGAGATTACCCGGTGTAGTTTCTGGGGTTGGAAAGTGTCGGCAGAAGAGGATCTGCGAGGGTTTGGCGTGTAGCGACCCGTGTCAGTAGAGGACAGCTGGAGATGCTGAAGAATCCATCCAAGGCGCTACTCGACAAAGGGAATGATCCCCCTCACAAGGCGACAAGGCAGCTCGAGGACGAAACCAGTCACCTCGCACCACATCAGCAGCATGCCCCCACGTGGGCGCACGTGGTCCTGTCCCCTTAGCCTAGTATAAATACTCATGTAAACCTTAGAAAGGGGGATCCGAATTCATTCTCTCTAAATTCCCTTGTAAAAGCACCCGTGCATTCTCCGTTATAATATAAATCGGGCTACAGGTGTTCCACCTAAAGTCCTACCGGTCAATCTGCGTGTTTTTACCTTCCTTACTTTGCCAAATCAAGCAAACTATTCTAGACCCGGTCTAGTATAGTTTGACCGGTCAAGTAATTTACACCATCACCCGTAGTCTTTTTTTTAAAGGTGTCTTTCCATAAATGGTCCTTTTTTTGATCTTCTGTCATGTTGGTATTAATTTAAAGGCTAAAAGTATAATTGGACATCAACATTATGTGTAGTGATGTGTTCTGATATTGGTTAAACAGATAATATAAAATTAATGACTATGATTGTGGGCTAGGATTACGACAAAAGACCACATTTGTAGATTATATTTGTAGTAGAAAGCGACTGTAATTTACAAACGAAATATCCTTTGGAATTGTGTACGACAAAAGAGATATATTATCATTGTTAAATTATACTTTTAGCTCTCAAATTAACACCAACATGATAGAAGATCAAAAAATAGACTATTTATAGAAAGATACCTATAAAAGAAAGATCATTGGAGCAATATTTGATAATAGAATTATAGAATTTACTCTACTACAACTAAACACAACTTTCTTCAATTACTCCGCATTTGCAGTCCTTTTTCCCAAAATTTTCAGTTTATGTAATTCGGGTTCAATTTCAGCTGCTTCCGCGTGTCTCCCCTCCTATCAAGATTCAACATCACTCCTATCTTGGCTCTCTCTCTCTCTCTCAAGGTGGAAAAAGAAAGCACTGTTGAATTCCAGTCAGATAGTGAGATGGCCGAGTCCGACGCTTCTAATGGATCATGTGTTGCCGACGGGGCGGCGGCTATCGGCGGCGGAGAACGCTCCAATTCCAACGTCCCCAAGCGGAGACCTCGTGCGGAAGAGATCACTCTTTTCCTTGTTCTGAATCGTATCGCGTCGGCGGTTTTCTTCCCGGATCCGGATTCGCCCGGCCCGCTCCTGCACCGCCTCAAGGCCTCTCTCTCCCAAAACATCCCGTTGCTTCCAGAAGCTTCTCGAAACACTGCTCGCAGCGTTTACGCCTGGACTCGCCAGGGCAGTCCATTTCGTGCCCTTCTCGTCGCCTCTGTGAGTTCATCTTGAAATCATTCCTTTTTTAGTCTCTTTTGTTTTCTTCGGATACCGCCTGCATCAAAATTTCTTCGTAAACTTTACAAAAATATGTACATTATAAGATTAGTTGTCCACTTTCCTATTCAACGATTAAATTATGATGACCAAATATGATTAATTTTCTTGCATTTTTGTTGAAATATGAATAAGTGAGTAAGTGACAAACTCCATTTATTTGCGTTTCTGTGCCGTTCTTATTTACACCAAGGTTTTACACTGTTAGAGTATAAACATGATATCAAAGTCTTGTCGAGCTATAAGTTATTAGTTTGGATCCAATCAACACCCATTTTAGAAAGGAAGAGTTCTGTAGGGGAAGGGCTTGGAGTCTTTTTACATATCTTTAATAATCTTTGCTTTAAAAAAGTAATACTCCCTTTGTCGAGAAATATATAAAGTTTACACTTTGACTTATTGAAGTTTAAGGAGCGTATTGAAAAGTGAAAGATTTGTGTTTCAAATTTATTTAGAATACATAGAAATGATAACATCCATGCATTCATTTTCTAAAAGGGAAAGTGGATAAGTGTAAACTTCATTTTGTGACATCCAAGAAAGAAAGTATAAACTTCATTTTGGGACGGAAGGAGTACATTTTAAGGAGTCCAATTTAGCACCAAATAAGGAAGAAGCCAATCAAGCTAATAACAAACTGAAGCAGGCACACTGATCGATTATTGATCAAGTCCAGTCTCACCCAACACCAAATAGCACGAGGAGCAATAAAGTGTGATGTAGAGACAGAAACCAAAAGAGAAAAACTGATGCAGGGAAATAGTTACCAGATTAGAAGGTTAAAAAATATTTGCATATTTTGGGCAAGGGAGAGGAAACAAGCTTCCAGCGTGTAGGAAGAGTCCCCACATCTCTGCAAAACAGATGGATAATATACGAAAAAAGAGAGGAAAAACAAATATGCAAAGGATTAATAGTGATGGAGCTATCAGTTGGATACTTGGATTGGAAATTTGGGCCAAGAAAAAACAAAAAACAAAAGCGAAATGGCTCTTTTAATTGTTTGTCCTTCTTTTATGGTGAGGTAGCAGTTAGTCATGCAAGTCTTGATGCTCATCATGGGTCATTTGGAAACAGTGGCTCTATGTTTTAAAAATAGAGGCACTGGGGTAATGTTGTTGTAAGTTTGATAGTGGGGATTTTCAAATTAGAAAGACATTGCGACTTTTCCCAATAAAAAATGCATAGCCCAACAACTCGGCGATGTAAAACGGGATGTGGTTCAAAATTCCAATGTCAGGAAAGTAAAAAGAGAGGACCCACATCAAATGCGACTTATCTCTTAAACTTCTAGGCCAATCCTATCATTCAGCCTTGTGGACAAGGCCACATGGTCGTTTATAATGCGTGGAAATGATACTTTAAGGGTCTCAATTTAGCATTGAATGGTATTCACCTCTCAAGAGAATAAAGGAGATAGCTCACACTACCTTACTTGAGGAACGTTCCTATCAAATTCATAGCTTTCCTAAAACTTGCCGAGGGTCTTTCACTACCTCAAATTTAATTCTTTTTCAGATATGAAAGGAAGAAGCGAATAAAGCTAATTGATTTTAATTTTGGATGGCCATATAATGAGGACAACATGATTTCTTTGAAATTTATTCCATAATTACTGTTCATTGGTGCATTGTAATAGTAATAATATATATTTAGGTGTTCGCCTTTGGGAGGCGCTTGGTATGATGTTTAAATGTGGATGTAGAACATAGTATTGCAAATAGTTTGGTTTGACTTTTTAGTGTTAAGTGTTGGGTAGTTGTTAAAATCATTTTGTACTGCATCATGTAAAGTGTAGGGTATTTACAAAATGCTTTACACAGTGGAGATATGAAAAATTTACCGTCAATAAAAAAGACTAAACACCTAACCCTAAGTTGCAATATTGAGTATGTTTTACTTGCAAAGTGATGGTATCCCATACTTTGCATATGATCACTTAGCATATAAAATATTTAGAATTTTCGGACACTATTAATCCAACCTCTTAGTGTATTGGACAATTTTAATCCGACCTTTCAAAAAGCATGCTATTGACCCGACCTTTATGCCTTATTATTTTTATTATACCAACATCAAGTTAGGCTAGTCAGATATCAATTTAAATTGATGTCACCCTATATTTCTGATATGAAAAAAAAACACCACTAATATCACCTAGATTGAGAATGATTTTAGCCTAGAAAATGGGAAATGGTGGAGATATTGTTTGAGAGGAACCTGTGTCACCAGTCCAACCTTTGTGTTGAGCTTGACTCATGACATTCGTTCTAGCCTCGCATGAGATATCAATTGTTTCCCAATTTCCAGACCCAAATGATTCTTAATCGGAGGAAGTAGACGGTGTCCAGATCATAAGTAGGTGATACGTGTTGAAGTGTTTCTCATTTTTATTTCCATATAAGAAATATATGATTCAAAACTGAGTTCTAACTTAGTTTTGGTATTAAAAAAATGTGTGAAGGTTGGCACAATGACATGCTTTTTGAAAGGTGGACTAATATCATGTAATACCCTAAAAGGTTGGATTAATGGTGTCCAAAAATCCAAAATTTTATTGCGCAAACTACCCCTTGAAGAGGAAGGATTCCTACATTTAGAAAAGAAGAATTTCTCATTGGGTCGGGGAAAAATACTAATCTTGCAAGAGTATTCCTTTTGACTTTTGTAGGATTTTTCTGAAACTCTTGCATTTTGTTTTGATAAATTTACCTTATTGCTTTTCATCACTACACAGTTTGTTATCCAGTACGCACTTAGTGTATCGTCTCTTGTTTCTTTCTCTATCCAAATCCAAACACTATGCAGTCCGTTATCTACATTGTCTTCCTGGTTTTGCAGGTTGGGACTATTACGCTTCTTGCCCTGACAGGATTGCTTATATTTATGTTTATCTTTGTCCTGACAACCATCAATGCCATTCTTCTCTCTCTGCTCATGTCTTTAGCCGTCGCAGGGGGGTTCTTGGCGATTTTCTTTGCCTGTTTAACAGGCATTTATGTTGGGGCTTTGTCAATAGCTGTCTTTGCCATTTCAACTACAACGGTTTTGACAATAGTTGCTTCCTTGATAGCTACAGGTCGATGGTTTGGATTCTTTATTCTTCGTCCTCATTTTTCTCCTATATTGTGTTGGAAAACACTTGGGGATCCCCACTTGTCACACCATTTTTGACAAGAAAGGCAAACACAGAGTCGCAGACAATCACTGCCTATGCAGAAGTGTCTGTGAGTGTCTATGTTACCCTTTGGTGTCAAACGTGGTGTCACAAGTACGGGGATTCCCTAGCACTGGCCTGTTCAGTGATTGAAAACTTAACTTTTTGATGCAGGTTGGATAGGATTCTTCTATGCCGTGTGGCTGGCATTGATGAAGAGCGCCTCTCTTGCAAAACAGACGTTGGACATGACAGGATCTGCCCTCAAAGCTTATTCTTCTCCTCGACGTGCAGGCTTCATAGATGAATCAAATAAACAATTCTAGAACAAGGCGAATCATGGTAACTTTAAATATGGAGCAGGAGCACTCTCCTAAAGCTGCCTATAATAAGACTCTTAGTTTATGCTCAGTGTCCAACAATAATAAAGAAATGTAAAGCTAATATTTGAGCCTTGAGAAATTGTGTAGATTTGGTGAGAATATTGGGCTGGTCTATGATGTGTATCCTAGTTAGTAAAATACGGCAAAGGTATAATATGGTAATGTGTACGTACGTGTATAATACGTTAGATATTTATAAAATACGGCTATGTATGTGTATTAAACGTTTCCGAAACCTAAAATACGCCTTCCAATATAAATATATAAATTCACAAATATGCGAAAAATGAATCATCAAGGTAGTTGATACTCTCTCTGTCCCAAAAGGATATTTTTGTTTCATATTTTTATGCATCTCATAAAATGAAGTGAATAGTGGGAGTACACATTGTACAACCAAGATCTTTATAAACCGAATACAAATCAAGAACTTGCTTAAAAGTAAAATAAATACCCATAAGAAAAATAGAGTAAATTTTATAAAAGGTCCCCAATTATATGCAGTTTTTCATATTTAGTTTTCAATTATAAGATATTTTATAAATAGTCCTCAATTTTTATAGTCATTTTTACCAAATATGACAAAATATTTTAAGTAAATTCTCAAATTGATCCTTTCAAGTAAGGTTTTTTCCCAATGCAATCTCCAATAAGCTAAAATTACTAACGTGGTCCTTTATTGTTTCTTAAATAGTTTTTTTTTTTTAAAAAAATGTCTATTAAATGACAGTTAAATAAAGGATATTTTGATGCTTTTTTAAAAATTATTTTGAAGAGTTATTCATAGTTTAGATAATAAAGACCATTTATTGAATTTACTCGGAAAAATATAACCTTAATATTGTAGGGATTTTAAGCGTGTAAGACTCTTAAAATATCAAGAACGTGAAAAATAAATAAACACACTACACAAGAAAAAAATATGAGAGAAAAATTATATCTTCACTATTTCAGAACGATACACAAAAAACTCTCTCTATTTACAAGTACTAAATACCAGACACTTATAAACAGACTTTTCACACCCTACACCTGGATGTATTTTTCGAGTAACTAAATAATAGTTACTCCCTACACTCACTCACACAATGTTGGTGATATCTTGTATAACACCTCTCTCTTTAACCTTCCTCTTGTTTTTCTTCCCTACTCAACCGTGTTGTTCCATGGCTATTAAATAGCCAAAAAACATAATAGTGGGAATATTAGCTGACAACTTCAAGAGGAAGACAACAAAACTCCAAAAAAAGGCTCCCCATCATTGCAGCTCATTTCTTGGTTGTTTCCACCCAGCAGCATCTCATTTTTTTTCCTTTTTTTTTTGTTTCAATTATTTAATCAAAAATATCTCAACAAACTCCACCTTGATTAAATAATAAAACTTGGTCCGGCTCCACCTCGCTCGTTCCGGTGAGGTCACAGCTTCCACCAGCTGGAGAAACTTTAAACGTCACCCGCTTCGTGCACCATTTGCCATCTTCACAGCACCCCCATCACAAGTTTGATATGTATCAATCTTTTCCTTAACTGAACACATGTGAAACGAACAACCCGAATCTAATATCCAATCCGATTTACCTAGATTCTTTGTAGTTGCCAAAAACAAGTCTTCTTCACTTTCTTGGTTCGAACTTTCTGCAACCGCAGTCACGGGTGTTTTCCCGTCCTTCTTTTCCTTCCTCCTCTTTGGACAATCCCTTTTGAAATGACCCTCTTCATCGTAGTAGTAACAACGAAAGCTTTTACTACTCGATTTGAAGCGTTGGGACGCGTCGCCCCTCTCTTTATACCGTCCTCGTTCCCGACCAGCTCCTTTTGCTACCAAAGCTTGACCGTCGTTTGATACCCCGTTGCCACCCCGTCGAGTCTCGTTCATCAACAACGCAGCAACTACTTCATCAAATTTTAAGGTCTCTTTTCCAAACAAAAGCGTGGTCACTTGTCCTCCTCTTCAATCTTCACATCAATGGATTCCAACTCTGTTGTAATCTTGTTGAATTCATCCAAATGCCCATTAAAGTTAGCTTCCTCTGCCATTTGGAGACCAAATAATTGTTTCTTCAAGTATAGCCTACTTGTCAACGATTTCGACTTGTACCGGCTCTCCAGCTTGTCCCAAATATCTACCGGGTCCGTCAAATCGAGAACCTCCCGAAGGGTATTATTTGCAAGGCATAGGCATATTGTACTTGTTGCCATATCCTTCAAATCCTCCCACTCTTCTTCCGACAATTTTTCCGGTTTGTCGTTCTTCCGATGTTTGGCCCACTCAGCATCCGTCATTTTTTCTGTCCTCTGAATCTTCACCTTCAGAGCATTGATTTCCCCTTCCCGAGTAAGAACACTTTTTACTCGTTGTTGCCACAAAGTAAAATCGCCACGTCCATCGAAAGGTTCGACGGAAACATTCGAACTTTTTACCGATGCCATTTTTCAAGTTCTTTGACTTTCTTCTCTTACCGCTTAGAAATCCCTCTGCCCCAATTGTAACTTGGCTCCGATACCAATTGTAGGGATTTTAAGCGCGTAAGACTCTTAAAATATCAAGAACGTGAAAAATAAATAAACACACTACACAAGAAGAAAATATGAGAGAAAAATTATATTTTCACTATTTCAGAACGATACACAAAAAACTCTCCCTGTTTACAAGTACTAAATACCAGACACTTATAAACAGACTTTTCACACCCTACACCTGGATGTATTTTTCGAGTAACTAAATAATAGTTACTTCCTACACTCACTCACACAATGTTGGTGATATCTTGTATAACACCTCTCTCTTTAACCTTCCTCTTGTTTTTCTTCCCTACTCAACCGTGTTGTTCCATGGCTATTAAATAGCCAAAAAACATAATAGTGGGAATATTAGCTGACAACTCCAAGAGGAAGACAACAAAACTCCAAAAAAAGGCTCTCCATCATTGCAGCTCATTTCTTGGTTGTTTCCACCCAGTAGCATCTCTTTTTTTTCCTTCTTTTTTTTTGTTTCAATTATTTAATCAAAAATATCTCAACAAATATAACCACAAATAAAGTCTTAATTAAGTAAACAATCTGAAATAAGAGTAATATTACAAGTCTACTTCACCAATAATAGCATCATCATTAATGTAAATTACACAAATATAAAAAAGCCCTACATGAGCCATAATATTATCAGTCTCAATATTTAGTTTTCATTGCCAAATACAAAGGAGAATAACCTAAGATGAATTTCAATAAGATTTTAAAACCATATATGGATTTAATTTTTTTTGAAAAAGTTATGATGATCATTATTGTCATTTTCTATGGCTTTCTTGTCTTTTTTATGCACATGAAAATTAAAATTCTTAAAATTCTAATCACAAAATGGTTGCAATTTTAAGGACAAAATACAAAAATTCCAAACTACTAATTTGATTGTAATTTATAATTTGAATTAAGCAGAGAGATTACTTTTTTATCCTAATCATTAGGGTGGCTACTAGCTAATGCACTCGGAGTATTAGACTACTAGCCGAACGAAGTCAGAGATGCTTGTAGACCATGTATAACCGGACAATATTAGATAAAATTGATTCTAAAATTAAGCAATTTAAGTAACGAATTCAAATAGAAGGCAAGTAATATTGCCTATTACTATATTTAACATTTTATAAAATTTATAAGATTTAGGATTAAAAAAAGAACCCAAGTAGTATTGCAAATTACTATATTTAACATTTTATTTAAATTATAAGTTTTAGATTACAAAAAAATCATATTCTCCTATCCTTTTTTTAGCAACTTTGAGTGTTGGTGTTAATAGATCTCTAATTTTAATCTTTAACCAAAATTATAAGGTTAATTTTTTTTGGTTTCTTTTTTTCTTTTTTTGTATCAAAACTCTAATTAAATCAAAGAGTAATGTTATTTTAGTTTCTAATTTTTTAAATAATATTTACATTGGTTTATATATTTTAGAATTAATTTATATCTTATATATCCTATATATATCTTTATATATAAAATTTGAAAGTTAATAAGCTTCTGGAATTGCGACACATGGCAGGTATACTTGGCAATTTTATTACAACTCACCCGCCACCTTTGATCACTTTGGTAATATGGCAATTGTGACATGTGGCACGCTTACTAGGCAATTTTTGACATGTCAGCACTCCATGTCATTAAGGGATACTTAAAGAATTAGTTAACAAAATAATATGTTCTATGAAAATTAAGTTTTGTATTGGTAACACACAAATTTCTCGATATAAATACGTTTAAAAACTTTTATATCTTAATTCATTGTCGGAAAAAAATATTTAAGTTAAAAAAAGAAGTCATATTAAAAAATAATAATCAAAACAAATAAAATTATTCTAAGAATGGATAGATTAATAAGACTAAAGGAAACTACATGTGAATATTTGTTATTACTTTGAATTAATACTAATTGGAGATATTTTCGTATTTTTTTAAAAAAATAAATAAGTATATAAAAGGAAAGAGATTTTTATTGGCATGTTTTTTTAATAGAACATTAATTTTTTCCGTATATATTAAAAAAATTCTAGGTCAAATAACAAGTATGTTATATTTTAAAATTAGTATTTTCCATCTTTAAATTATTATTCTCCATTACTAACTTTGTAAAAATTTATAAATTCTTGTTACAAAATTACTATTTTCCATTAATAACTTTGTAAAATGAGGAAGACTTGGTACGAGGGTATTTATGTGTAAGAAATTAATTGTTATAAGTGCAATTACTACTTACTATTGAAAATAGAAAATATGTTTATTTTTACATCTATGTCAAAATAATATAAATTAGTAATATTCTTGCTTATTTATTCATCTGACCATCGACCACAAGGTGACAAATATTACTCGATAATAGAAACTTTTCATGTTTAAAGTTTTTAAATATAAATATTTACAGTATCTATTTTATGATGGTTATTACATATACAGAAAGAGAGGGATTGTCATCGATTGTGGCCTCGCATGATCAAACACGTTCGAGAAAGAATGTACTCTATGATGTGACAAATGGTATTTTTACTATTTTGAATTAAATATTTAATTTTTCAGTAATTTCCCCCCAAAAAAGTATCTATACAGTGCTTCAATCAATGAATATTTAGATATATACTTCATCGCGCTTTCAAGTACATAAGAGACAAAAGAGAATTGATCTATATTCTATAACACATGATTTTATTTTTTTAAGATGATAATACAACAATTACCTTTGTGTATTAACTAATTATATGTATAAGATATTATAAACAATTTAAGCAAATATCACGTAAATTAATATGGTGGACAAACTCGATATATTTTAAATTTGGCAAATTTTATGGTGGATCTAAGGTCCACCATGGACTTACATATGAGAAAACTAAGTATTTCCTTCTTACTTAAATAAATATTTATTTATAATTAAAAAATAAAAAAAGGTTTTTTTATGTGAGAAGGTGCCCAAAAATAGTATACACCAAGGTGCACCAAAGAAATACTCTTTAAATTTAGATATCGAAGTAGAAGGTTCATCTGTTTAAGATATATTAGTGGAATCATGTTTACATAATTTTGCATTTAGAGAAACAAAAATTAAAAGTATATTTAGATCATATATTCAACATGTAAGTTGTGTGGAATGCTATATATATATATATATATATATATATATATATATATATATATATATATATATATATATATATATATATATATATATATATATATATATATATCNATTTAGATCATATATTCAACATGTAAGTTGTGTGGAATGCTATATATATATATATATATATATATATATAAGATTAGCTATATCATATTTTATTTTTCATTTAGAGATCATCCATTTTGAGGATCCCACATTTATTTGTGAATTTTGGGAAGCTTTGTTGCAGTATGAAGAAAGAACCAAACAAATAAAGATTCAGAACATATAGAGTTATCAGTTTGTTACATAAAAAGAAAAGTTTAATTGTCTCTTCTAAAGAAACCCTCAGATTTGCTTTATAATTTATTTTATGTACTTGGTGTGAGGAGTTCTTACTACCATGAAAAATTTAAGAAAATACAACAATATATTTTCATTCACGTATATGGATGGAAATATTGATGCATCTCACAACAACGGTCGAGCAGCAATTTACACTTAGCAGGCACAATCATTTTCACATACCATCTTTAATTTCTCAAGATGGTGAAATACCACAATTTAGTCAATTCTATATTTATGATACACAGAATGAGATATCAAACAGAATGACTCGTTTTAGGTATCTCGAGCATTTTATTAATTGCACCCTTTTAATATAGGTATGTATTATTTACATGTGCTTGACAATATAATACTCATGGAACATTATTTATAGACTAACAATAACAAATTGTTCTATTTATTTCATACAGTATGGAAAATAATTCTTTCGTTACTGATAGAAGTTTAGTTGATGATTTGAAAAATATGATAGATAGCATAATGTTTTAACACATATCTCTAGAAAAATTATAGACTTCGTGTATAATGACTCCATTTCTAATGTATCATTGAGCCTGTTGACAAGTAGAATTAGAGACTCAAAAAATTATAGGAAAAATTACCTAAAATAATCCCAACTTTACCCGGTCTTTCAAAAATAATCCCATCTTTCACTGTGATGCATAATAATCCCAACTTTACTTAAATTTGCCAGTTTTGGGTCGCCGTTAAGTTTCTAACGGAGGGTTAACGGAAATGCCCGTTTTAGGCAACAAAATAAAAGTTGGGATTATTTTTGATGAATTTTCATTTTTTTTATTTTTTATAAATTTTTCATTTAAATTTTTTAAACTACTTTCTACCTCCATTATCATTTCTTTTTCCTTTTTTAAAGATTAATCTTAGTTTAAAAAATAAAAATAATAGATATAAAAATGAAAAAAATGAGAAATGTAACTAAAATGATACAAAAATAATAAAATCAATAAGGTAATCAATGGAAACTAACTTAAAATTGGTAAAAGTAAAATAAAAATATATGGGTGGGTTTTAATATTTTACGCATTATACAAAGTTTTAACATATCACTCCTTATTTTTTAGAAAAAATTATCTACAATAATTCCAACTTTACCGGATGGCTTGTTCTTTTAAAAAATAAGTAGTACATTAAGACTCCGTATAGCGTATAAAATGTTAAAACCCACCACTCCGTATATATTTATTTTATTTCTTACCAGTTTCTGTTTAATTTATATTGGTTACATTATTTATTTGATTAATTTTGTATAGTTTTAGTTATTTTTCTCATTTTCATTATTTTTATATCTATTTTTTCTAAGGTAAGAATAATCTTTAAAAAAGAAAAAGAAATGGAGGTTGAAAGTAATTCAAAAAATTTAAATAAAAATTTCAAAAAAAAATTAAAAAACAAAAATTCATCAAAAATAATACCAACTTTCATTTTGTTGCCTAAAACGGGCATTTCCGTTAACCCTCCGTTAGAAACTTAACGGCGACCCAAAACTGGCAAATTTCAATAAAGTTGGGATTATTATGCATCACAGTGAAAGATAGAATTATTTTTGAAAGATCGGGTAAAGTTGGGATCATTTTGGATAATTTTTCCAAAATTATAATATTTCCACAGTACATGAAGTTGTTGTTCTAATACACAACACACATATAAAAATATTTTTATATGTCTGTGCATATATTTATGTGTATACACTTTTATTTTTCTTTTAATTATCTAATTTTACTTTTTAAATATTTGTAGCGGTCAAATGTGAACTATTAATAGTGAAATTTGCACTAAATAGGATTAAAACATAATGATTTTCCTAATGTAGGACTTAAATTTTTTTATTCTCTAAATAGGACTTAATAATGACCTAGTGGAAGGAATAATGTCCAGTAATGATGAACATTTAGTTGAATAATGACTACTTAATAATAACCAAAGGTCCTATATTGGGAAAGTCATTATGTTTTAGTCCTATTTAGGTAAATTTCTGATATTAATACGGGATGGAGGTGGAATATTGGAAAAGAGAAGTTGCATTCCTCAATATTATTGGGCCGGTTCACGCATTCAGTCCAACAAAAAACCGTACATAAGGACTCGACCCAAACTGCAACTAGTACCCAGCCGACCCTATAAACCCTATAACTCCTCTACGCCGATTCACCGTCCCTCCATCTCCATTCCCATTCCCAGGTACTTACTTTTCTACGCTCCTGCCTCTTTGTTCGACGATTCTCCGTCCTTCGCTGCTCTAACTTCCAACTTTAGCAAATACTCTCAAACAGATTTTTCTTAAAGTTATGTTTCGATTATTTTTTGATGAATATTTAGATCTAAGGTATGAATTCCACAATTTTAGATGATTTTTTTTATCGTTGATGAATATTTAAATCTAACCTAGACATTCTGTCTTAAAAAGCACTGTACAATTGATTTTTTTTCAGTTTCAGATGACTATCTGCTTCACATATTGAATCTACTCCATATAATTTAAGATATAGGTTAAAATAACAAAAAGAACATTGAAATTAGTTCGTTTATCGTTGTGGCAAGCCATGCTAATCTGCAGTTTAGATGGTATTTTATTTAGGTCACTCATAATTATTTGTTTATAAACCTTGGTAAGGTAAGCAGACAATTTATTCCAGATATCCCAACAAAAAAATGTGGACAACGTAAGACGAAGGATACCTAAATTGTGACTGTGTAGGCTGTGAAATCGGTCTTTCTAGCCTTATATATGTTCTCCTGGTTCTTTGTGTCTAGGCATAGTGATGGGAGAAGATTCAGGTAGGTCCAATGACTCTCAAACAAATGGCGATGTCCCGTGCTGCAAATGTGGTGTGCCCATACAGCCCAATGATTTCAATATGTGTGCCCGTTGTTTACGCTCGGAGGTTGATATAACTGAAGGGTTACAGAAACATGTCACCATTACTTACTGCCCGGATTGTGAAAGCTATTTACAGCCTCCTGGATTTTGGATTAAAGCCCAGCCTGAATCCCAAGATCTTCTTGCATTCTGTGTGGAGAGGCTGAAAGATTTTAATGAAGCTCGTTTGGTGGATGCCGAGTTCATCTGGACCGAACCTCATTCCAAGAGGATCCGAGTCAAGCTTAAACTTCAGAAAGAGGTTCTGCAGGGGGCAATCCTTGAACAATCGTATATTGTTGAGTTTGTTGTCCATGACCAGTTATGTAAACCTTGCTCAGGTATTTAGTCCCAACACTGAACTACACAAATATTTGGAATTTTACTTATTTTGTTGCTGGATTATGAAACTATAAGTTTGTCGTGATATATGTGGTTAGTTAGAACTTAAAATGTGTATATATGAAAGAAAGTTTTGCCGCACATATAAATTCCTTTCTAAAGAACGAAGTGAGAAGTAGATTCAGAACAAAGTGTAATCAATTCAATTTTTTTTTGACGGTAAAGAAAATTCTTTATAACTGAATCAACAAAGGGCGAACAATACTTGGCCCCATGATTGGACTCAAACCTCCTCGCAAGCGTATGAGCAGCGATGTTATTACGTCTAATATATGAAAAAGAAACAGAATGAAGCCCCGCCATTGATCTACACGACCACATTACATTTTGGTCACAAACTTTTCATTACCTTTGCTGATTTGTGATGGATTATATCCGCCCCAAAATGAGCAGTTTCTTGTAGTGTACATGCAAATGGTGCAATAGACTACCTATTGTTATAGATGTAGCCCAAGGAGCTTTTGTGGGAAATTGTAAGACTCCCTATCTATGTCCTCCCTCTCAACAATGGCGATGACATAGGGGACTATATATGTCGGGGAAGAAGGTGACCTATTCAATGAGCCGGCACTCCTTGAGAACATTGGGCTCAACACTTTTGTCGCCACTAGCTAGCTCCCAATGCCCCACCATAACAAATATGCATCCCGAGTTTGGTCTCCTTTTCTACATTATCACTCTGTTGCTCAATCAATCCCTGGCCGGAAATACTCTACCATGACCTTAACCCAAGATGTCAAGACGATGCACACCATGAGAAGGCTTGAGATTCGCTCCCCTCCATTGGTGCCATCCAACACTATTTAACAATTTGAATTGATGCATAAAACATTTAAACTATTGGGAATGATGTGTTAGATGGAGTGAGAAGGTAATATGTTTAAACCTTTAAACATGATTCATGATGATAAATGGTCCCATCATTTCATTGGTTTCGTATTTTGAATTATACTCCCTCCGTCCCAAATTATAATGCCTGTTCACTATTCACAGGGTTAAACTTCATTCACTTTCTTTTTATATTTTCGTTAGTAATTTGATAAAATAAAATATTATTGTCACTACAAGTTTTGTAGATCTTTTGATGTAGTTTTTTAATATGTAATTTTTATTTTTTAATTCTATACCATTTGTCATATAAAATGGTTTGAAAATAAATTCAGTCAAATATCGTAAACTGAAACAGGCGTTATAAAATGAGACGGAAGAAGTAATAATATATATATTATAATAAGTAATTAATATAATCTCTAGTTTAATTTAATTATAAATTAGTTGTTTTAAAATAATGACTAATTAATTATAATAAATAAATATAATTAGAATGATGTCTTATTGTTTAACTTAAAGTTTGTTTTTGAAAAAAAATATAAATTTTATTATGTAATGTTATTGAATTTCTATTTATATTAAAGTGTTGTAATTATCTTCTCTAATTTGATTCTTCTAAATATAAATTCATATACTCTCTAATTTATTACAGTAAATGAATATTTTATGTAAATTTTTTATTCATCTAATATGTTGAAATAAGAAATTAATATTATTTTAAAATATAACACATACTACAAAGTTTAAATAAATCAAAATAATAAATAAAGTACAAGTGAGTCTCATGAATAATTACATGAATAGATGGATGAAATGAGTTGTGAATGTTTATTTAAAACATATAAAAATTTGACAGGTTTGATTTTTTCGGTTTTCAATTTTGATTCTTGGTGGTTGTGATCGAAACTGACCGAATAATCGAGCCCAAAATTGATTAGAAGTAATACTCTTTCTGTCACATAATAATGTTCCACAATAAGTTTTTATCTATTTAAAATGAGGTTCCACTTTCCATACTAGATTTTTTTGGGTAGAGAAATTTCCAAAAGAGGAGTAAAACATACTAACTTTTATCCTAGAACAAGAGTGCTATTTATGTTTTTATTACTAAAATAAGAGTTTGCACATTGACAATGTAGCATAGTATCTCAGCATTATATAATATTTTTTGGCATTATATGTTGACATTTTTTGCATTGTTATTTTTTCTTTTAGATATAAGAACATAAATTTTTTATTTTGGTATTTCCTATACACATATTCTTAAATTTAGACTTTTTCATTTTTGTCAATTACATCGTTTCCTTCTATTTACACTATTTTTGGTTATATATTTTCATTTTTCTTAATCTTCATATGAATACTGAAAAAAAGAAGTTTCATTCCTCAATAGTAATATTATTGGGCCGGTTCACGCATTGAGTCCAACTAAAAACCAATAATATTATTTGGCCGGTTCCTAGCCGACCCTATAAACACTATTCTTTACAACTGATCTCCTCTAAGCCGATTCACCGTCCCTCCATCTCCATCTCCATTCCAGGTACTTCCTTTTCGCTCTTGCCTCTTTGTTCGACGATTCTCCGTTCTTTAACTTCCAACTTTAGCAAATACTCTCAAACAGATTTTCTAATGTTTTGTTTCAAATATTGTTGATGAATTTTTAGGTCTAAGGTACGAATTCCACAATTTTAGATGATTTTTTAATCGTTGAACAAGCACTGTACAATTTATGTTTTTCAGTTTCCGATTACTATCTGCTTCACTGACTGCTTTGTGCAATTATTTTCGTGGTTATAGTATTCTTTTCTATGTCCCTGTAATTTTAATCATCTCCTGGTATGATTTCGTGACAATTTTTAAGAATAGGGGATATTAGATGAAGGAAACGATTGAATTTACTATTTTGTTGTCCAATTTTTAAGACAGTGGTTAATAACAAAAAAAAATGAAATTAGCTCGTCCTTAATTGAGGCAAACAATGCTAATCTTCAGTTTAGGTTGTATTTTAGATCACTCATAACAAATTGTTTACTAACCTTGTTAAGGTAAGCTGACAATTTATTCCAGATATCCCAAAAAGGACAACCTAAGACAAAGGAAATATAAAGTGTGTGACTATGTAGGCTGTGGAATCTGTGTTTCTAGCCTTATAAGTGTTTTCCTGCTTCTTTGTGACTAGGCAGAATGATGGGAGAAGATTCAGGTATGTTCAATGTCTCTCAAACAATTGGCAATGTTCCGTGCTGCAAATGTGGTGTGCCCATACAGCCCAATGCTGTCAATATGTGTGCCCGTTGTTTACGCTCGGAGGTTGATATAACTGAAGGGTTACAGAAACATGTCACCATTACTTACTGCCCGGATTGTGAAAGCTATTTACAGCCTCCTAGAACTTGGATTAAAGCCCAGCCTGAATCCAAAGATCTTCTAACATTCTGTGTGAAGAGGCTGAAATCTTTTAATAAAGCTCGTTTGGTGGATGCCGAGTTCAGCTGGACCGAGCCTCATTCCAAGAGGATCCAAGTCAAGCTTAAAATTCAGAAAGAAGTTCTGCAGGGGGCAATCCTTGAACAATCGTATATTGTTGAGTTTGTCGTCCACTATCAGTTGTGCGAACCTTGCTCACGTATTCAGGCCAACCCTGACCAGTGGGTAGCTGCAGTGCAGCTCAGGCAGCATGTTTCTCACAGGAGAACTTTCTTTTATTTGGAACAGGTCATTCTTAAGCACAATGCTGCTTCCCGGGCCATACTTATAAAACAAATGACTCAGGGGGTGGATTTCTTCTTTGGAAATAGAAGTCATGCTCTGAAGTTTGTGGATTTTGTGGGTAAGGTGGTGCCTACCAGAAGTCGTAGCGACAAGCAACTTGTGTCTCAAGACGGAAAGAGCAATACCTACAATTACAAGTATACGTTTTCCGTTGAGATCTCTCCAGTATGCCGTGAAGACCTCATTTTTCTCCCACAAAAGCTGTCTGCCAGTTTGGGAAATCTTGGCCCGCTTGTGATCTGCACTAAAGTGACCAATAGCATTACTTTGCTGGATCCGTTCACTTTGAGGCACTGTTTTCTAGATGCTGATCAGTATTGGAGAGCATCATTTAAGCCTCTACTCACAAGTAGGCAGCTTGTGGAATATATAGTTTTGGATGTTGAACTTGTGTCTTCTGAAGTTACTGTTGGTGGTTCGAAATATGCTATGGCTGATGTCCAAGTAGCTCGTCTATCAGATTTCGGCAAGAATGACATAATGTTCACGGTAAGAACACATATAGGCCATCTTTTGAAATCCGGGGACAATGCCTTTGGTTATGATCTGTATGGAGCCAACAACAACGAAATTGAGTTGGACAAATACAAAGGTTTTTCCCTCCCTGAAGTGATTTTGATAAAGAAAAGCTATGAAGAAAAGCGGCAGAGGAAGAGGGGCAAGCCTCGTCCATGGAAGCTCAAGTCACTTAACATGGAAGTTGATGACACCGGCAGAGCGAAAGACAACAAAGAGAAGGCGATTTCAGAGTATGAACGGTTCTTGGAAGAGTTGGAGGAGAACCCTGAGGACATATTTAACTTGTCACTGTACCGCAATAAGGAATATCAACCCTCGGAAATGGCATCTGCCAGTGATGACGATGATTTCCCTGCAATTCCTCTGGAGCAACTTGCTCATCTTCAATTAAGTGATGACGATGATGATGTTGGCCATGAAGGTGTCAGTATGGCAGAGTGAAGTTGTGCTGTATCTCTTTCAAGAACTTAGGAGTTCCAAAGATGGTCAGCTTTTTGCCATTTCAAACTTGTTTGCAGAAGCTTGTGTTTTTTTGTTCTGTTAAGACCCACATTTGTGTTGACCTCTTTGCATGTTTAGTGTTGCATGTTATATGAAAACACCTTTGGGTTACTTTCTTTTTCACATGTTTGGTTGAGGGGTGTTTGGCAATTTAGAATTAGGAAAAACTTAGGTGTACCCTGGCTAGTGTACACTAGGCTTGTCACAGAACTGGGGTACACCTAGCACACCCCTTAAAATTCGGCTGGGTTCAATGGACATTGATTGGTTTTCAGTGGCCACGAAATCCACTATCACCTTACAGTGCTCTGTTCGTAAAATTTATGATTTCTACCCCTCGATAACTCTCCCATGCCCAGCCCTGACCCTGACTCATTTCCTGCCTACGTCAATTGCATCCCGTAAGTATAGTTGATTTTAAAGTCTAAAATTTTGATCTAAAAGTCAATTGAACTTGCGGGGTGCAATTGACGTGGGTGTGAGATAAGTTGGGGTTGGGATTGGGTGAGGGGGTTTACTAGGGAGGTTAGGAGAGATAGAAACAATCAATTTTATGAATGGAGCACCGTAAGTGTCTGGATCAGGGCAGTGGCTTTTGTGGCCATTGAAACCTAGTGGTCATAGGACCGGGCCGCTTAAAATTATGCTGAACACAAAATGTTGATTTCAAAATGTAGGACCAACTTTATGAAAACATCATTTTGATATTGGCATATGTTATTACTCTTTTCGTCTCAATTTATATTTTCTGTTTCGGTTTACGATGTATAATTAAATTTATTTTCAGTGGACTTAAAAAATAAAAATTACATATTAAAATACTGTATTAAAAGATCTGCAAAATAACTAGTGGTGACATGATTATTTTTTAACAAATAACTATCAAAAAAAGAGAAAGAAATTGAATAAAGTTTGACCATGTAAATAATAAGCATGAATTTTAATTGAGGAGGGAGCATTATTATTATTTTTATTACTACAGTAACTATTTATAACAAACAACTAAGACTTAGTTTCATTCAACTTATTTTTTATGATTATTATTTATTCTTATTAAAATCAGATCTAATCAGATCATATCCAACCACGTAGATCAAACAAGATTAGATTTCATCAAATGAGATCTAAACAAAATTAATATTAATATTATAATAATAATTATTGCTATTGCTATAATTATTATGATTATAATTATCATTACTACTATTATTATTATTATTAATATTATTATGATTATAATTATTAGTTTTATTGCTATTCTTATTATTACTATTATTATCATTACTATTATTATTATTATTATTATTATTATTATTATTATTATTGTTATTGTTGTTGTTGTTGTTGTTGTTGTTGTTATTAGTGACACCGGAGTACGGTGACACTCCGGTGCCACTGTCATTTTGGGGCACTTCCGGTGCTCTATTGTAAAATTGACGGTTCCTACCCCCTAACCCACCTCTAAACCTCCCACCCTACCCCGCCCGTGCACCCCTACCCCATAAAATGTATAATAGCCACACATTTTGTGTGTGGGGGGGGGGGGGGGGGGNTTGGGGGTGCAAGAGCGGGGGTAGGGTGGGGGGTTTATGGGGTGAGTTAGGGGGATAGAAACTGTCAATTTTATGAATGGAGTATCAGAAATGCTCCAAAATGACAGTGGCACCGCTAGTGTCACCAAATGTGGGTGTCACTAGAACCTCACCGTTATAATAATAATAATAATAATAATAATAATAATTATCATTATTATTATTATTATTATTATTAATATAACTACGAAATAGTTCTTTTGACCTTTGATCTTTGGGTCATATTATAATCCAAGGTCCATACGGTTCTATGTTCGTAGAATTGATGGTTCATTTCCACCTAAACCCTACTCCTTGCTCCCTACCTGCCCTCCCCATTACCGTACCCCTTCCCCCATTTGGCTGATTAGGCTACGGTAATATTGTAGCCAATCGGCGAAATTGAGGAGGGGAGGGGGGAGAAGGGAGGGTAGGAACCATCAATTTTCACGAATAGAGCACCGTAGGGGGCTCGGGTCATATTATCACCTTAGGTTCCAACGTCAAAAGATCTCCGCCGATATAATTATTATAATTATAGTCATCATTATTACTTTAGTTATTATTATGATTATTATTACTATTATTATTACCATTATAATTACGATTATTATTATAGTTATTATTTTTCATTATAGTTATTATTATTATTGCTATTACTATTATTATCATTATTATTTCTATTATTATTATCATTATTGTTTTTATCATTATTAATGTTTCTATTACTATTATTATTATTACTATAACTATTATAATAATTTTATTTTTAATTTAAGTCAAATTTATATATGATCAGATCCAATCAGATTAGATTAGACAAGATCAGATCAGACGAGATCTGATCAGATTAGACAAGATCATATCAAAACTTTAAAAAATCAGATCAGATCATACGAACGAAACACAACCTAACTCATGCAATCTGCTACTCTTTCTGTCTGCCTAGGATTCTCCAACTTCTTTAGAGAAGTTGAAGAAAATTAAAATTGTGAGCTTCAAATTTTTTTTAAGAAGAAATAAAAAGGAGTCGCAACTCTTTTAGTCTCCTTATGATTCCATGCTTCTTTGGGAACGATTGATGAGAAATTTTTTAACATACTATTTGCTCGGTGTCAAATTGTTTGCCTCATTTGCTTTTTGAACGATCACAAGAACTTTTAATTATTTGTATGTTTTCATTGGTAATTTACTAAAATAAAATATTCTTAACACCTTTTATTTTGAAAAACTTTTAATGTAGTTTTTAAATATGTAAATTTTATTTTTTATTTATATGCCGATATTTAAATAAAATGAATAGAAAAAACTTGATATTTTACATCGTTTTTAGAAATGTGGTAAACATTTAGGGACAGAGGGAGTTATATTTTAACCTGTGACATGCACGAGACCGAACAAAATTTGTGTAATTATAAAAAATTTCTTCAACTTTTTAAGATTATATTCTTTTGGATCCTATTTCTTAGGATCTGTTTGGTTAGAAGATAAATATTTTTGTTTTAGAAACTCCCAACTCTACTTTTTTCATGTTAGGTTGTATAAGTGGTAGGAAATCTTTTTTTTGAAATAATACTTTCTCTAAGTAGAGAAAATGACTTGTGTTTGTTTTGGATAAGAACTCATTTTTTATTCAATACTCAAATTCTTTGATTCCTCGATCGAGTTCGTTTCCCCCACCCACACCAATCCTGTAAAGAGATTTGAAATTGATCATGTATTAAAAACAAACTATGCCCCCCTAAAATATTTAAAATTATCTCAAAATAACTTTATTTTTCATTCAAATATCAACAATGTTTCAATAAAATATGTGGGAGATAACAAATATCTAGACACATATTTTCCTACAACCAAATGCACCCTTAACTTCCAAAATATTCCAACTTTTTCTTTTGCTTTCAAACTGCTTTTAGTTTCTCGAACTCTTTCTTGTTTCTCCCAATTTAATTCTTCTAACTTTTTCCAACTTTTTCAAATTTTTTTCTACTCTTTCTAGTTTCATCTAACATCTCTTGATTGCTTTCAATAGTGATTTAGAAATTATTTGGGTGTATTTCAAAATGGTTCTAGAGCTATTGGCTCCAGGTGGAAGGATTTACTGGAATATCGAAGGTTAGAACTATCAGTTTTGTGAACAGAGCACCACAGTCAATCCATTTAAAGCTAGTAGCATCTGTAGCCACCCAAAGTAAGTGGATGTAGAACCCCTCCATATTGTTGTTGTTGTTGTTGTTATTATTATTATTATTACTATTACTATTATTATTAAAACAAATGGACGAAGTTAGAAAATATTTACATGCAAATGCATATACGACGAATAAAGAAAAATACTTTTCATCCAAATGTATAATATAAGACCTCTCAAATGGACGAAGTTAGAAATTATTTACATGTAAATGTGCGCCGGCGGGTAGGTAATGGAGAGAACACTATGGCTTGGGGAACCCCTTGGCTTTTGGATGAAGCTAACCCTTACTTGCTTTCTGCCCCACTGGGGATGGGTGACAACCCGCGGGTCGCGGATTGGATTGACCGTGATTTACACTCTTGGAATATTCCACTTCTTAATTCTCTGCTCTGTCCTAGGGATGTTCATGAGATCCAAAAGCTACCTTTCAACTATTACTTACAGGATATTTGGTACTGGAAGGGTGATGTTTGGGGTCATGACACAGTTAAAGATGGCTATCGGAAATTCATGGGGGAAGCCTTGCTAGATCCGTCCTTTTCTTGTTGGGGAAGACTATGGAAAATTCCAGTTGCACCAAAAGTACGTGTTTGTCTCTGGCGAGCAGTTCGTGGGATTCTCCCAACATTGTGTACTCTTATCTCTAAAGGCTTGGAGCTGGAATCTCATTGTCCTGTGTGTGGTTCTACGGGGGAGACAACTGAACATATTTTTCTCACATGTCCTCTTGCTAATTCTGTTTGGAATCTTTTGGCATTGGAGGGGAATCGGTCGTCTGCCTCTGAATTTCCTTCTTGGCTCCAGCAGGTTATGATTACGAGTTCAACAGTTGACCTTCAACGGATTGCTTGGACGATATGGGTTTTGTGGAAGAACCGAAATGATGCCTTATGGAATTGTGTTGTGGCCATGCCCTTAACCTTGAAGCACCAGACAATTCACTTGCATAGAACTTATAGCTCCAACGGCAGGGGTCTTACTACAGCTCGTGGGAGGTTACAAATGGTGGAGGGGCTTTCCAACTTTTGGAGATGCTCAGTGGATGCTTCTCTGTTTCCCGGTGTATTCTCTTTGCACCTGATGGCACTTTCAAGGCAGCAGTTAATGGTTTCACCCAAAGTGATTTTGATCCTTTTATGGCTGAAGTTGTGGCCTGTAAGAAGGCCCTTTCGTGGCTAAAAAATAGGGGCATTGATATGGTGATACTATCCTTTGACAATCTTTAACTGGTTCAAATTTTACAGCAAGGGAATGCCTCCTCCTTTTTGTCTTACGTGGGTTCACTGTTGAATTCTTGCTTTGCTCTTATTTCTTCATTTAGACACATTGAATTTCATTTTGTGCCCAGATCTGAGAATGTTTTGGCTCATTCACTGGCTAGACAGGTTGAGAGTTGTGTTGATACGTGGGAGTTTAACCCACCAAACTTTCTTGGTCCTTTTTTGAATGTTTAATGAATTGCTTGTTGTTTCAAAAAAAATAGGCACCAAGATGACTCTTTTATATCCATATTTGTCTTTTTATATTTTTGCTCTTATTAATAATTTAGTCTAATTATTTCTCTTGTCTTATTTAAATGATACTTTTCTTTAATCTGAAAAAAATTAATGTGTATCATATTGTTTATTCATTATTTCCTTCTCTCTAGAGAACAAAAGGAACATCTTATAAATGAAATATTATTTTTAATTAGGTGACTTTAATGGGAAAATTTAAAACATTAATTTTTTAAAAGCACATTAATTTTAGTTTTATATAATAAATAAAAATTGATTTTTTTTGAAAATGTTCAATAAATTTTAATCATTATATTTTTATCATTCTAAAAAACTTTTATCCAAAAATTAAAATTTTTGGACATTCCAAAAAAACCTTATTAGTACACTTTATGGATCCATTTCTCCTTTTCAGTAGGATAATTTTTGTATCTTTTTCTTTTTTAATTTCCCTTTTCTATTTTTTGTTCTTTATTTTTATTTTATTTTTTGAACGTACAAAATATAATTTGTTTATTTTTGAAAATATAAAACCGAAAATGTTTAACAGAGAAAGTATTTTTTATTTTATTATTTCAAATACAAAAAAATTTGAATTTTAATGCATTATAAATAAGATTTTAAAAAGAAGTTTAAAAATGATAGTAGGCACTGGTGTCTGCCTGTCTGGTGCCCATGTGGATTAGAAAATAGGGCCCCCTTTCTTAACATAAAAATGAACGAAAAATAGTATGAATTGAGGTGGTGCGTGTGCAACCTTTTGAAATGATCGACATTTTTAAAAAAATGAATTTTGAAAACAAATGGTGTATTCATACTTATTTTTCAATGCACATGAACCACTAGACTTATATATATATATATATATATATATATATATATATATATATATATATATATATATATATATATATATATATATTCAAAAATATATGTTGTCATTTGGTACTTTAAACTATAAATATATGAATATGAAGATTATATTTTTTCAATTCTCAATTTTCACTATTATATGTTTTCTCTATGAAAATTTTGTTTCATTATATTTCACTCAAAAGAATTTTAATATTATTGTTTTATGTATATAAAAAAGACGCAGATTAGTCATGATTACTTTCTTTTTTTATGAATAATTCATTTAATTTTTGTTGAGAAACTATATTTCTTATTTGTATAACTTTTAATAAGTTCAAAAGTCCATGATTAATTTAATATAAAATATATAATTTTAATTTTTAAACTCATCAAATTTAAAAGGTTATCATAAATAATTTTTTATAAATGATGAATGAGATTTTAAAGCATGTCGTGTAATTTATTCTTGTGCCATGTTATTTAAAACTTGACATGTAGGATTCACATGTAAACATGTTAGTGACACGGGTCTTAAATATTAAAGTAAAACTAGTATTCTAACCCATGCCACGCACGAGGTCAAATGAAATTTTTGACGATTCTGTAAAATATCTTTAATGTAATATTTCAAATGATTTAATAAAATATATGTAATGTGTTATTTAACACTATGGAAAAAATTATCATAGTAAAATAAATTATTTCGCATTTAATATTTGGTTATGAAAATTATTATATATAAATTCAAAACCGAACACCTCAAAGAGTTTTTTTAAAATTCATATTTTTATAAAAACTTCATGGCATGCAATATTTTTAGTGTGGTTGCAAGGATTTTCATTATCATCTATAACTAATATTTTTAACTTTGTCTTCATTTTCACCCGTGAAATAGCAGCATAAAGTTGACTATAAGTGAACACGAATTTGGTTAGAAATAATGTAAGAAATGACTATGTTTGATCTTGAAATTTTTATAAATAGTTGTTGCAAGATATAAAATTATTGAGAAAAGTCTTCTTTATAACTTGAATGGTAGTCCCAAATCAGGTGATACCAAAATTCATTTTAGGTATGTAAACCTTTTCACCGACTCGATTTCCTGAAACCACAATTGCATCAATAACGTTATATCACAATTTTTTTAATGATTAATCTTATCTGATTATACAATCTAAATGTTTGGTCAATGTTCCTAAATATTATAGTTGGTGTCCCTTTTGTCAAAACTATTTTTTGGTTTGAGATTTCTAAACATTTGATTTCATTAAAAAATTCAATTGATGTCCAATTGTCATCAACACCTGCATTTGCTTAGCAATCTTCAGCCAAGGATTTAGCAATCATACATCGATTCTCTAATTTCTTCCTTTTTTGAAGGCCAGCGAATCCCATAGAAGGAAAGGAGTTGTTTTGAATTCAAAAATCTTCAATTCATCTCGACAGATCTTCAGCCAACGATTGCTTTTCCTTCAGTTCATAGAAGGAAAGAATTTTTTGAAGCCAGCAATTGCTTTTTTTGAAGACCAGCAATTATCGCAAAAACTTTTGCAGTCAAGTGGAATAGAGTATAGCGAGATCCGCTGGTGCAGTCCGTATATATTTTCTTTTAATTTTACAGTTATTACGTGGCGCTGACGTGTTAAAATTGTGCCAAATAGACATGCCAAATGTCGCATTCCTGTGAATCAGTCACCTTTATAGTTTTAAAGGATTGCGTGGCGCTGGAGTTTTAAAATTGTGCCAAATAGACATGCCAAATGTCGCATTCCTGTGAACCAGAGTCTTCTTTATTATATTAAAGGATTACTAATTAATTCTATTAATTAATTATATTTAATATAATTAATATGATGTCTTATTATTTAATTTTAAGTTTTTTTTATATTAAAGTGTTGTAATTATCTTCTCTAATTTGATTCTTCTAAATATGAATTCATATACTTTCTAATTTATTAAATCAGTATTTTATGTAATTTTTTATTCATCTAATATGTTAAAATTCAAAAATTGATACTCCCTCCGTCCCGGAGTATTCGTCCAGTTTTGACTTTTGGAACTGTTCATCTAAGCACTTTGACTCATCAAGTTCTCTCAATGTGTAAGCCTAAATGTAGTCATGTGTGATCTTGTTTAATTTGTCTTAACATATAGTGATAAGTCGGGTTTGGTTTGGTTCTTTTTATTCTTTTTTAGGCATTTTTAATATTTTTAGAGTTTAATTTTTAGTTGTTTAGCTTAGTTTTATTATAATTTTCATTTTTACAATCTTTTATTTTCTTTCATAAATAGTAGCTTTTTAATCACTTTTTTACATTCTATTATTTTTATTTTATTTTTCCTAAACCAAGTTATCAGATATCTTATTTTTGGAGAAAAGTGTAGCAAAAGGCCAAATTGAAGATCAAGTTTGAAAAGAAGATATTGAATTTGGGCCAAAGCCCAAACCCATCATTCAATCAACAAAATTAGATCAGCCCAGCACCCCTCCTTCCTCTTGAATCTCACGCACGGCACAAGGAAAAGAAAGGAACGAAGACTTCTTCTTCTTCTTCGCGCGAGCAGCGACTTCGTCTTCTTCGAAACGCTTCAACGGCTCTTCTCCAACGTTCGCCAAAATAAATGCTCCAACGGGAAGAATTCAGCTCCTCCTTGCTATAAATTGAAGGCAAATCGCAACAATTCAAGAGGGGGGGACAACGAAGGGGAATTCACACGGAGAATAAAGCAGCGACTCTAGCCGCTGCTATCTACGCAGCTCCGGTCGACGATGGGCGGTGGTCTCCAACACCGTTCATGGTTCCTCCAAGCTTCAATTATTCAATTTCTTCATCTTCTTCAACAATTGGTAACCCTATATTTGTCAATTTCTTTTTCTTCTCCAATTTCTTTGTAAAAGTTGTTTTTCAATTCTAATTTACACTTTTTTTACCTAGTTTATGTTAATTTCATAAAATTTCAAAAATGGTTGGTGTTCTTTATGGATTTTTTTATATCTATATTAAATCCCTTATGAATGAGAATTAATTCAAACTAGTTTTTCTTCAATTATTGAGCAAATTGTTGTTAAATTGGTTGAATTACATAATTTGATTTCATAAGTAGGTTGGTATGTGGAATTCGATTTTTGTTGAAGCTATTTTAGCTCCATAAGGTAGTTAAATGAACTCCGAATTCATACGTGAATCTTTTTTGTGATTTGTGTTTGTTGATTTTAAGAATTTTGGACTTCTTAGCTCCATAAGTTGATTCATTATCCTTAAAATTCGTTATTGAGTGATTGTGTGTTTTCTCGTATGTTTGTTCGTTATTTTCATAAAATTAAGGTTGTTTGAGCTCAAAAACAATTCTCGATTTATTGAAAATATGTTGTGTTCATCTAAGTGAATAGAAAAAACGTCATTGGTTTGAGAAGTTCATGGAAATCTATGAAATGTGCTCATCATTAGGAGAAAAAGTTTGTTAAAATGCATAAAGTATTGGCGGTTGTGAATAGATTATGTATGAGAGTTGAATGCATGATAGATTCTCTCTTTTATAAACTTTTTCTATAGTGGAAGTATGTTTTCATGTTTGAATAGAGAGTTGGGGTTCTAAGGTATATTTCAAAACGGGCCTTTGAATTGCATGACTCCGGGCCGTGTGGAGAGTTGACAATCCTCCATATCGTGGTTAAGGAAATGAATCGACTCGGCCTTTGATTGATTTTTTCTATTCTTAAGTGCGTAAGTTACGTAATATATTGTCTAAGTGCCTATTATACGTGTAATGTTCAATTTGTGTTTGTTCTCTTTTTCATTTTGTTTCGGGTTCTTGGTGGTGTTTTTTTTGGGTTTACTTTTGTTGGAGGAGTTGATTATCTTTAGAGCTTGTTTTCCCCCATTTAATCAAAAAACCAAAAAAAATAAGAAAATATAAAAAACCAAAAAATACTTACTTTTTATTCAAACCCCCCCTTTGTGTTGTGTTTCAGTTATATTATAAGTTTTTATTTATAAGTTATAAATATAAGTTTTTATACTTTTATATACTTAGGTATTTGTTTTGTTTTTATAAGTTATATTATAAGTTCTTTGTTTATATAAGTTATATTTATAAGTTTTTAAATTTATTTAGTTATAAGTTTTAATTAAAAGTTTTTTATAAGTCTTATCATATGTGTAGTGGTTAGTTTTATTTTTATATTTATTTTCGTGACAACGTATTCGCATGCTAAAATGGTTTTAAAAAATACAAACTTTTTCCGTGGGATCGACCCTTACTTGCCCTAGCTATAGTTTTTTTTGATTATATATTGGGGGTTAGTTAAGGATATTTTATAAATTTTTAATTTGTTTTGGACCGCACGACAAGTCCCCAACATATAGATTATTAATATATAATTTCTGTAATTTTTTAATATACAAATTACTTTTTAGAAAGTCAACTATAATTTAACACTTCCTTATTTTTCCCCAAAGTCAAAAGAGGAACCGTTTTGAGAAACGGAGGGAGTATCTTTTATAAGTATGCATATTATTTTACTTTCTAGCTGCGTTTATATAAAATATGCAGTTCCAAAAACTATGAAAATATACTTTCTTTTTTGTTGTTTTGATTTAGTTGATCGTACGGCACATGTTACACTGCAAAAAAATTCAAAACTGGCTAAACAAGAAATTCAACAGACTACTCTAAATAATTTTATAAAACTGCCTGTGTTATATAACTGTGAAAAGTTTAAAGGTTGGCTATTACGTTATACACAGTGTTTATACTATAGTCGATAAATGATTAATGATGCGTAATTCTCACCATGTATTTTATTACTCCCTCCGTCCTATATCTTTCTTCCCGTTGCGCAAAATGAAAGAAAAATCTCAAGTTTTTTCAATCTATTTTATTTAAATATTGGTATAGAAATAAAAAATAAAACATACATATTTTAAGACTATATCAAAAGTTCAACAAAACAAGTGGTTACAAGAATATTTTATTTTATCATATAGGCCATGAAAAAACACAAATAAATATAAATTCTCGTGAAGTTGGAATAGTGCTCCGGGAAGAAAGTTTTAGGACGGAGGGAGTACTTAACAGCGTTATTAAATTTTATAATATGTTTGGAAATTTGGGTAAAATTTACTCCATTTTTATTAAACAAATAACTTATTTGGGAGACACCGTGTTGTGAGAAAACCTAAATAATTCGTTCACGAACTGTGCGGAACCTTCAACACCTAGAAATCCTTAGACTGTTTATATGAGTAATATCAACATTGAAGGTTTGTGATAATTTTCTGTACTATACACATTTCATAAAAGAATAAAAAAATTACTATATATAAATTTTTTCGTATTTTCTTCCTAATTAAACGTTTTGTTAGGAGATACTGAAGGAGAATCGGTATTAAATAGTGTCGATGATCAAGGACATATTGAAACAACTTCAACATTCGAAGAGAATTTGAGCAATGTACCGATAACTTTTAGCATGTCTGATGGTATTGGTCTTCTTTTTTTCAAATTTATTTTAATTCATTCTATTTTTTTCTCAATGTGTGCCATATGATATGAATACGTCTTCCCGATCATGTTTTTGCGCAATATTGATCATGCTAATGGTTTGTGCAATGGAACACATTTAGGGCCTGTTCTTTTGGACTTGAACTCTTAACTTCCAGTTTTCCCAGTTCCTTCCAGTTCTTTCCAGTTTCTTCCAGTTTCTTCCAGTCCTTCCAGTTTCTTCCAGTTTCTTCCAGTTCTTCTAGTTTTTTCTAGTTTCTTCCAGTTTTTTCCAGTTGCTTCCAGTTTCTTCCAATTTCTTCCAATTTTTCTTGTTTTTTCCAGTTTCTTCTAATTTCTTCCAACTATATTTATTTTCTTCAAATTCTTTCTACTTTCTGACAAATCACTCTAAAAAAATATATTATTATTATTATTCTTACATTTTTTTAATTACAATTTTTATGTTGATAACTATAGTTTATAAATTATTTTATTTTGTCATCTCACTATTTTTATGATTCATATTCATTATTTTTTTCTTCAACTTTTTAATATGAATAATACCATTTTTTTGTATATTAATCTACAATAAAAAAAAATAGGAAACTATTTAAAAAATTATGGTTAAATAGTTATATACACCCTCTGTCCCTAAATATTCACAACATTTGCTTTTTCAACAGTCGCGGGAACTTTTGTTTATTTCGATGTTTTCATTGATTATTTGATAAAATAAAATATTCTTGACACCTCTTATTTCGAAGAACTTTTCATGTAGTTTTTTAATATGTAAATTTTATTTTTTATTTCTATACCAATATGTAAATAAAATAAATTGAAAAAATTTAATATTTTGCCTCGGGAATACAAATGTGGCAAATAATTTGGGACGGAGGGAGTAGAATATTTTTTAATCTAAATTTATATAAGGTAAACATCAATATTTTAATCTAAAATATAGTACCTTCAATTAAGTTTAAGTACATTGTAGAATACTAAGTGCTAGTTCATCTCTAATTATTTTCTTAAACTATCTTTTTATGTATGAAAATAATATTCGTAATATTTTTTTTATTTTAAAGACAATCATTTAGATAACGTAATAACACCACCACTACCACCACCACCACCACTAGCAACAACAACAACAACAACAACAACAACAATAACAACAACAACAACAATTATTATTATTATTATTATTATAGCAATAATAATAATTTATATCAACAAGAATCAGAATGAGAATAATTTAAAACCACACATAAAAAATTTTAAAAACTTTTTTTAGATTTTACAATTTATTCTAGTTTTTTCAGTTTCTTTTAATTTTTTCCTGTTTTTCTAGATTTTTCCAGTTTCTTCCAATTTCTTCCAGTTCTTCCAGTTTCTTCCAGTTTTTTCCAGTTTCTTCCAGTTTCCATCTCTTTTTTTCCAGTCCTAAAGAACAGGCCCTTAGTTGTAACAAGACTTGATAACCGTCTATTGGATGCAAAGATGATTCATGGAAAAAATGCAGGACAAACGGTTTTAATACCGCGAGTTTCGTTGACTTCATCAGATACCAGATTGCCATTTAAGTTTCAAAGAAGACAATTTCCAGTTATGGTATCGTATGCGATGACCATAAACAAGAGTCAGGAACACTCTCTTTTTCATGTTGGTTTATTCTTGAAAAAATCTGTTTTTAGCAACAGAAAACTGTATGTGGCCATGTCTAGAGTACGGACTCGCGAGGGATTAAAAATAATGAAATGTAGCCCTGATAATACTCCATGTAATACTACAATTAATGTACTCCCTCCGTTCCTGAAAACCTTTCTCCTTTCTTTTTTCATCCGGCCTCAAAAAACACTTCTCATTTCTATTAAAAAGTCACTTTTACCCTTTACTTTTTCATACCCTACCTATCACATCATACCTTTTTACTAATAATCTATCCATCAAATCATACTTTTACCCATCACACCAAAGAATATTTTTGGAAATTTAATACCAAAATACACTCCCCTTAAATCCCCCTTCAAAATCAAAACTCCCATGTTTTCTGGGGCGGAGGGAGTAGTTTATAAGGAAGTTTTTGAGAATGTATGAATGATGTTAAACGTACGTTGCTTACTCTAATTCATTATAAGAGCATGTATTGAATATAATATACTCTTAATACACATCTCTATGTTAGTAATTATATTTAAAATTAAATAAACTTTATGATTTGTGGACAACTTAATTTATTTGTGCATCACACGGGTGATGGCCTGATTAATATATAATTTCTATAATTTTTTAATATACAAATTACAAGATAAAATGGATTAAAGAAGTGTATTGGATGGTGTGTAAAAATGAAAGTGGACAAATACTTTGGGACGGAGGTAGTATTATTTTAAAACATAATACATAGTACAAAGTATAAATAATTCGATATAATAAATGAAGTAAAGTGAGTCTCATGAGACATGAATGATTACATGGATAGGTT